TTGTTGTTGGCTACTGCAGGACCAGAGCACTTAGGCAGGGCAGCTAATGGAACTGACCCCTTTAGTGTCCCAGCCAACAATTTGCGCGGCGCACGCGGGCATCAGGCCAGACGGTGACAGTGACAGTGCAGTCAGTGTGTTGCATCTAAGTGCATGCATCCATTCGGATGTAGTGTTGTTGTTGCTTCTCCTTCTTCTTCTACCTGACGATGCTCACAGAGTCCTTCCATCGAGCTTCCCGTCCCCTTCCATGCCCGTCCGTCGCCGTCCCTCGTCCGAGTCCTCTTCTCCATAGTATTACGTCTCGAATAATCCGTACCCCCGTGAGATGACGGCTTTTTGCAGTGTGCAGGGCATCGGACACAGAGCAGCCCGGGTCCTGAGCTGGACAATGGACATCCGAAGACGCGGCAGTCTCCCGATACAAGACACAGTTGGCCCTGGATTGCCTACTCCCTGCTGGTTGCTGACTGCTGCTGGGCGAAAAAGGTGAAATGTTCTGGTAAGGTGCCCCAGCCAGGCGCATCATCTCGTATTCAGATGCTGGGCGCGAGGTCCCTAGGGCGAGCGAATCATCGCAACACCTGGGCCGAGATATTACCCAACCGGCCCCCCCGCGACTCAGCGTGGCTGGCTGGCTGTGCGCAGCTCCCAATGAACCTCCCTGTCACATCCCTAGCACCACAACAACATCACACACAATGGGGCCCTGATGCCTCATTAACGAGGTGCCTGGGCAGGCCTGTCCCTTTCTTGGAGCGCCTTGCATACGGTACCTACATCGCATGAACTGCTAAACACCCTCGTGTAATTAGAGTCTCCAGAAACACCAAACACCACGCGAACCGCGTCTGTCAACGTCGACAGGAAGAAAAAAAAAAGTCTGGACCCTGTGGAGCGATAAGGAATGCTGCAATTTCCATATCGTCCCCCCTTGTCACCCTCAAATGTTTTTTTTTCTGTTAATCAGGGTCCTGGCCTACCACCTTAGCAGGGATCTTCGGGACTCAAGGCGACCTGACCTGCGGAAGGTTGCCTCGCCTCATCCTCTGGGCTCCAAGCATTGGTCCCATTCTCCCAGCAGGTCCTCCCCAACCCGGCGAGGGGCATCATTCAGTGCAACCCCAACCTAAACCACCACCGAGACCTGCAATTCCGTCTGCAGGGGGGCCTCTCGCTGCGGCGCGCCTTACCTCCCGCTAGCACTCGGTGCGCTGCACGCTAGTGGCCCAAGGTCGCACTTCCCCGCAAGCCGGAGGACGGCCGGTTTGTTCCTCTTGCCCCAATTCCTTCCCGACAGCTGTGCCAAGCTCCAGTGTCCTCCTGCCTGTCGTGGGTCCCCGTTTCGTCCTGATGACTGGCGCCGATTGGGTCCTTGCTCTTACACCTTCAACTTCATCCCCAGCAGCTACGGACATCTTTCACGCAACACACTGCCTCGGCCGTTTCAGCAACCTGCCTCACCCGCGAATACGCTTTTCAACATCCCAAGCCCAGAAAATGCCCGTCACAGCTCGTCGACTGGGGTCTTCCACGTCCGTTGGGAAAGCTTCAAAGAGCCCGGCCATAATTGTTCCCCACTGACGTCAAGCGTCGTCAGTTAGGTCATTACGCAATGCTCGCCGGCCGCGAATGCTGTTTGCGAATGAGGGCACAAAGACAGCACGCAACGCGACCGATCGTTACTCGTGACCATGACCATGACCATGACCACGGCTGCGGACTAAGGCCGTTGGCCTGGTTTTAACATTTCGATTTTGGTTGACAGCTTGGCCGAGCGCCAGGCACAGGTATTACGGTCGCGGTCACAACAATAAGCCCACGATGCTGGATTTGAAAATGGTCGTATTCTCATTCGCTCATAAAATCAGCGGTCTCTACTCAACGGCATCTCTCGCCGACTGTCTACTGAAGCATCTGAGAGAATTGCGGGGTTATCGAGAACGGGCAATTGATGTTCTTGATCGTCTCGTCGCACCAGTTCTTCTCCTGTGTGCCGAGACCAACCATCACCGCCTTGTCGGATGGCTTGGTTCCCTTCTTCAGGGTGCCCTCCATCGTGACCTCGAACTCGCCCCGGACAATCTTCAAGTCTCCCTTCAGCTCTGCCAGAACCTCACCGCTGCCCTGGTTGCGCAGCTCGAACATGCTGATGCCGTGGTCAATCTCGAGCGGGCTGGGGTTGTAGACCTTCATCGTGTTGGCGAATCCGCTGCCGCGAGGCGATGAGTTGACCTGGGCGATCTTGGGGCCCTTCATGCCCACGATGTGCACGTCCTTGGCGTACTTGACCTTTGCTGACAGACCAAGCGCCTTGATCGTACAGTCACCGTTGTCGAGTCTCAGGATCAACTCATCATCGCACATGATGGCCTTGACGAAGGCCATGAAAGCGTTGCGGTCGATGATCTTGATAGTTTGGTCTGTGACGACGACTAGCGTGCCGCTCGACTTGGTCTTGACCTCGGGCAGATCCAGCTTGCCAAAGACGCCGCCATTGTACATCATGTCGACGGTCATGGGCTGCATGGTGGCGCCCATCGGTCCAGTACCCGTGACCTTGCTCTCGATGGTCATGACGAAGGAACTGGAGAGTTCATAATCAGCACGACCGCGACAAACGAATTTCACGCGAACTTCGCGATTGAAGGAAGATTTGGCTTACTCCTCCGTCGGCTGGGAGATCTTGATCAGCTCCACCTCCAGCTTGGAGCGGTTCAAGATGGCTTGGGTAATGGCATCCATGTTGATTGATTGGTCTATTTGTTGGTATGTGGGCTCTTGAGAGTGATGACGACGGACTGATGTAATAGAGTATAAGTGCTTGCTGATTGTTGATTGAGATTGCTGCTGATTTCCTGGTTCCAGAACAAAAAGACAGCCAGAGGAACACGAAGCTTATATACTATCATCCCAATTATATGGCGGTCATTGTTCCAGCGACGCCAGAACACATGCAGCTTCAGCTGCCATGTGCCGGAAGCTGCCACAGCTTGCTTTGTGCCTCGGAACTTGCAGTCTGTCTCCAACAACCCACCTCCACAACGCGCTGGTTCGCATAGCTTTTCGCATAGCTACCCTGCCACCCAAATAGAGACAGGCAGGGTCCCGGGAAGCAACATTATGGGACGAAGACAATCCAAAAAAAATTCAATCCAACAAAAATTGATGTGGCGGTAGCAGTAGGTAAACAAACGGGGACCGGTCGCTTATGCGGCGGGCCAGATCGATCGTCGACCGAGCACCTACCAGATCCTCCTCCCCCAAATCCCCAAACGGCAATTCCCTGTGCGTTGAAACACCATTACGGCAGAGAAGACCCGCCAAGCGACCAAGGGCAGGCAGGAGCCAGCTCACGCACCGCACCCGCAACCGCACCCGCACTCGCACAGCTGACTGTTCACCTACGACTCCATTAAGCAAGCAGGCGGCGAGCCCAACCTTGCCTCGCCTCTGCTACGTTCGCTTGGACGTCCCGTTTCGGGAAGCATAGTCGCTTGTTGTTTATCCGCCCTTTCTTCCTCCTCTACAGCCTCGAACCCCGGACCCGCGCCTCGGCCGGCGGCAGTCTCAGCGGCAGACTTACAGCAGAAGCAGTGTCAGCGGCAGAGCAAAAGAGAGAGCGAAACCTCCTGAGGGGGGAGGCTGTGTACCGATACGATGGATATCTCCGGCCTGCAACTCAGCCGTCGGGGAGAATTGACCTGACTCAAGCAAAAGAATATGGGTAAATAGGTGAGAGCTAGAAGTGAAGCATAATTTGGCCAACGTATTGGGCTATGCATGGTCCTTCGGTGACGCACCCCGTTGTGCGGGGAAGGCATGTCGAATCTCGGTACGCTACGTTGAAGATGTTGTCTGCATGTGCTTTTCTTCGTCGGTTCAAACTCTATGGGTGGATGGCCGTCGCGAGAGGAGGCGCGGGAGGATCATCGATTGGCGATGTCACGCAGTATTAACGCAAGTAAGGCAAGACTTATGGTAGGGATGGCGGGGTTTCGCTATTCGAGGCGGGGAAAGATTGGGTGGTGGGTTGCCGGGTGTGTGTTGGCATTCAGCAAGACTGGATGGCTGCCATGCGGAGTAGAGTTGCGTAGATTCTCGTCATCTTTTGCTTTTGTTCCTTGGAAGGTGAACTTGGGGCCAAAAAGTCAATCTGGCTTGGGTGGACGGGAAACGGCCTTTGATAATGACATGGAAGCCTGCAGTGTGCTTTTGCAGCACCTTAAGAAGAGATGGACGATGAGCCAATGAAGCAGGTCTCAATCGGGAGACGATCGGTGCTGTCATTGGATTTGGTGCAGCCAACTTGGTGCAGAAATGAGTTCTTGGCGCCGATAATTCAGATTAAACCCCAGGCCGTGTGTCGTAACCATGAGCAGTACTCGTAAAAATACTCAGTTACAGTGATTTCAACCTCAGGTACGACGAAGACGACGAAGACGACGAAAGCATAGAAACTACGAAATCAACATCCTAATACCATTCTCATAAAATCAACAAGACAAATGGCCAGGCTGTGCTTCATCGCTCATCAATTCTCTCGAGAGCCATTCGACTATAGAATGAAAGACTAACAACAACCATACTTTTGTCACCGTCGCCAGCTTTCAGAATCCTCTCTCTCAACTCCGCAACCGCCCGAAACCGTGAACCCACCCCGTCATCAACATCATCAATCATTCGCAACAAACACCTCACTGCGCCACGACCTCCGGGTCAACAACAACAACAACATCAACCGCCCGCCCACCTGCCCTACAACCGTCCCACCAACCTCGGCCCCTGACTCCGATCCGATGCTTGTCTAAGTAAGGTAACGTTATGAGATGAGCCAGATAAAGAGACCTTGTCTTGTTTTTTTTTTTGGAATGTGTGCGTGAACAACAGCAGGGCAACAACGACACTCCACGAAGGGTAAATGGTATTTGGCGTATGTTTTTTTTTTCTGTGCTTGTGTTTTTTGCATTGGTGCTTAGTGGCATGCGACTCGCACAAGCTTACACTCCGGTGGCATCGTCGAAGACGATAGCAGCCTTGATGGCGCTCTTGTTGCGGATAGACTCGAGAGCCTCGCCGAACTGCTCGAGCTTGAAGGTCTTGTTGACGATGCCCTTGGTGCGGACCTTGCCGGAGTCGAGGTAGTCGATGGTGGCGGCTGGGGTTTTGTCAGTAGGAATCTTAGAGAAAAGAGTGGGAGTACACTTACGGAACATGTAGGTTTCGGAGAAGGATCCGAGAATGGTGATCTCGTCGCCGAAGATCTTGGAAGGGGGCCAAGAGACACGGGCGGAGTCGGAGTAGACACTAAATGTATGATCAGTAGTTGTAACGAGGGAACACACCCCGAGACACTCACCCGTAGACGACGAGCTTGCCGCCGCGACGGACGTAGTTGATAGCGTCCTCGAGAATCTTGACGGAACCAGTGGCCTCAACGACGACGTCAAAGCCGTACGGGTGGTCCTTCTTGAGCTGGGCGAACTGTGCCTCAGGCTCCTTGCGGGAGAGCTCAATGTAGTGGTCGGCGGCGTCGAGGCTCTTGGCAAGGTCCATCTTGAGACCCTGGGGAGCGGCGATGGTGACGTTGCAGCCACCGTTGTGGCGCATGAGCTGGGCAAGCATCTATATCACACACACAAAATGTCAGTAACAATAGCTCGGCCGGGTTGTCACGGAGCTCCGTCCGAGCGGACTTACAAGACCGGTGGGGCCGGCGCCGAACATCAGAACGCTGGATCCCAGGCGGGGGCGGATCTTGTCCAGGCCATGGCAGGCGCAGGAAGCGGGCTCGAGGAGGGTGGCATCGACATCGTTGAGGTTGTGAATCTTGAAGACTTTGCCGGCGGGGTATGCGCAGTATTCGGCGAAGCCACCGTTCATGGTGACGCCGTGGGCCTCGAACTGGAGGGGTGGGAAGAATGTCAGTGTGCGGGTTCCGGTGCCGTGTAAGTGGGAAAGTGGGGCCGTACCTTCTCGCAGAGCAGCAGCTCTCCGCGGCGGCAGTAGAAGCACTCATTGCAGAGCTCGGAATTGTCGGCAGCGACGCGGTCGCCAACCTTGAAGTCCTTGACTTTCTGTTTGTGGCGTCTTAGTGTGAGTCTTTGAGGGTTGTTCAATGATTTTGGCGAGGTACGTACGGGTCCAACAGCGGCGACAACACCGACGGTCTCGTGGCCAGGGATCAAGGGGAACTTGGCGATGAACTCGCCCTCGTGGATGTGCTGCGACGTCTGTCAATATCGAGTCTCGAGTTTCGGCGAGAAAATCTTACCAAGTCTGTGGCCGTCTGTTAGCTTCGCGGGTCCTCAATGGCGTCTAAAAACCATGCATTGGGGGTGAGGGACATGCGCAAAACCACTTACCAGTGCCACAAACACCGCAAGCCCGAACCTTGACCAGAACGTCATTCTCGCGGAGCTCTGGGAGAGGAACCTGGACAATTGACCAATCCTCAGGCTTCTCGTATCTGGGTGAGGGGTCAGCCGATCGCCGATGGAGGGGTAAAATGAAGCTCAGTGAGCCAAGCTGCAAGGGACGCGAGGGGTCGTCGAGAGCTCGAGAGACTGTTCATCGATCTGGGGAAGAAGCATACCGGAGAGCCTTCATCTGCTTGGGGAGGTTCGACATTGTGAAGGTTGTGTTGGGTTGTAATTGGGTTTCTGGAGAGATTAGCTGCTCGAAGTTGGATCAGTAGCCCATCGACGTGTAAGTACGAAGGGCTAGGGCTAGCTAGGGGAGGAGAGCACCAACGTACAGAAAAAGCTCACGACAGAAGAGGAGGGGAACGGTGAATAGGAGCTTGAAAGTGAATGCTAAGTAATTGAGGAGGTGGCAGCAGCAGCTTATATAGCAGCGTCATTAACAAGCCCGCGTTCTGAGCAGCGCGGGGAATGGGCGCATCTTGGGATGGAGAGGGGGGGCAGGCAAGCCAGGGTCCATGGTCTGCGTGTCTGAGTTCAGGGTTCCGACATCTCGACGCTCCCTGGGATCGAGCCGGCGAGGCTCGCCAGTCTACACCGAGTGTACTTTTTGGAGTAAAAGGGCCAATATGCTGTGGTACCTACGCTTTGCGCCATGAGGTAGAAGTAGTGGGATGGCTTCTAGCTGCATCCCGCATCCACAATCCACATATCCACCTCCGCGTCTGCGCATGCATCGCCTTCGGCCCCTCGTCCAGCTCCACGTACCACCCGGCCACCTTATGATCATAGTACATACACGAAGCGGCATGCCATGCCCGTGGCGAGACCCGGTATGCTCTGGCCAATTCATTGAATCGGTGAGGGAAGAATTGCATGGGCGCCAGTGAATGAAGGAAGGTCAAGGCAGGGTCCCATTGTAATGCCCGTCACTGTGCTCTTCACCCCTGTTGCCCCGCCTTGGGAGCTCCCCGCCAGCACTAGCTGCGCACTCGGCGTCATCAAGCAGGGCTGCCACTGGCAACCAGAACTTGCTGGCCTTGAAAAATTGGGGAGGGGCAGGTTGCTTGACTGCGGAGGGCAGCTCAGTTGTAATGCCGCAGCGAGCGCAGGGAGAAGTGAACAGAAGTTTGGAACATATTGAGCTATGAAGTGAGGGGCAGAACCAGAATGGCTGGCGACGCGCCCAAACCCCACTTGACAGATGCCAGGCAGTCCGATGTCTGGCAGCAGCTCATCCCACCTCGATGGGGTCGACAATGTGCTCTCCAGCCAGTCAGACGATCGCAAGACGGACAAGATGCATCGGAAAGGGAAAGAGGGGGTGAACTGGGCCCTGGTCCTCTGGACTCAATTTGCAACTCCGAGAGAGTGAGCGAGAAAAACTGACACCACCATCAGCGAAAAAAAGACCACCTCCAAAGCTTCTTCTCTGGTATTCCATTGCGTTGCGACTGGCAAGCTCCACTTGGCCACCGCCCGCGGGGTGCTTATCTCGCACATCCGCCATCCTCCCCGAGAGACTGCCCAGCAGAGGAGTGGCAGGCAGCTCGCCTCAACAAAACCACCCTCCCGTAAGCTTCAGGGAGTGTGAGAACGTGGTGACACTTCACGGCACATGACATTGAACTTATACACTAGCCCCCTGGCCTCGACCGCGTTGCCGCTTCCATGCCCGCGCCCGCGACAATCCCTCAGGCTGGCTCTGTCCACGCGCTACCCTGGTGTGGTGGTCCTCTTCCGGCCGTTCCCCGGTTTGCTGGCCCTCTCCGTGTCCGGCCCTTGGCGTGGAGACGCTCCCTCCACCTGGAGCTGGCTTACGTACCGGGTTGGCGCGAGCGGGTGGGATGGCACGGATACGGATGGCTTCTCGAGGCTCTGATATGATTTTCCACCGTTTTGTGCGACGCGGAATTTTGCGTTCGGTGGTTCAGTGGTTCATGAGCTTAAATCGGGCCATCGCAGTCATGCTGTGCCACAAAGTCCTATAGCCTGCAAATGATGTTGAATGTTCATCTGATCGACTTGTCAATGAGTTCGAAAAAGATTCGTCGCTTACGGAGTATTCGGAGGGTGGTCAATTGTGTATTTGTAAGGTGGTGTGTGATTGGAGATGGCCGTGGAAAGGACTCTGAGGTGACTTGCACGCAAAGTAAGCCGATACTTCCTGGATCAGCCAAAGCCACCCCCATCTTCATCCCTCCTTCTCATCCCGCGGCTCGGGGATATCGAGGCAACAGTGTCCGGAAACCGGTAAACATGCACGAAAGTCAAACAGTAGGAGGCAGGGGAGGTCAGGAAGGCGAGACAGACATGCTGCAACCCGACGTGAGGTTAGCAGTTGGCAGTTGGTAAACCAGTTAGTGCGTTGAGGAAGGCGTCTCCGCGTCCCTTCCAAGCCAATCTTTCGCATCTCACTCGCTGAGACAAGACAGCAAATAAAGGTGTGGAGATGGTAATCGCTTCCCGAACTTACGCGGGGCACGAATGAGACTCTTGCAAGAGCATCGGAAGACCTGGCAGTCATGAGATTCGCGCAGCAGCAGCCCAGCTTCAGCAGCAGTCACCGCCACTTCGTCGAAGCATGCCCAACACTCCTCGGCATTCCTACTCGAGCACACCTGCTCTACCACACTTGCCGCTTCTGGGCAGGGCTGGCGACAGATTCACGGCGTCAAAGCAGGTTGGCTACCACACGGCTACATCGCGCATTGCTTCTTTACAGGGGCTGTCTCAAAAAGTGCAGTGTACGATACGTTCATTCGTGAGGGCAGCTTGCTGAAGCTATTTCCTACGTGCGTCTGCGTCGGCGTCGGCGTTGGCGTCGATGCTTACCGCAGGAGAGCCGCTCTCAACATTCCCAAAGGCCAGACCGATCCCTTTCGTTTCCAGCCCGACTCCGAGAACACCGATAAAAAAAACCAGGAGTCCTCGTTTCTTTTTTCTTTTCCCATTCATTCCCCTTGACATGCATACCAGAGGTTTCAAACATGACCTCTCGAGATTTCAGCACCACCCCCACGTGCTCGACCGGCAGACACCGCTGGCTCATCACAGCGTTTGCAAAGAAAAGAGACACAAATTGTGGCGTTTCACGGTTTGGAGGAAGCAGCACAAGCCGCAGGCTGCAATTCATGACCTTTTGATGCAAACGATTTCCGAGGATCTAACCTCCAAACTCCCACGATGTTTCCCCCGTAGTCTGTGACGTTGACAGACGCGCGACTGTTCCGGCCATCCACTTTTTAGAGTACATGTCGGTGCCTTTTTTTGTTTTGCCAATGCGTCTCGAGAGTAAAAGCCGATAGGAAAGAGACCTCTTACGAGGGGGGAGCGCCACGGCCACGGCCAAAGCCACCACGGCTACAAGTAGTCAGTTAGCAGACTGTCTTCGAGATTGGTAGGAATGCGCCGACAAAGTCCAGACGAGATCGAATCGCCAGCGCGTAGGGGGAATGCTTACAACTGGGGCTCGAATCCACCAGGGGCACCACCCTCCTTGCCGCCCTCGCCAGCATCACGGCGGCGGTAGCCACCCTCACGGTCACCGCGCTCGCCACGGCCACGGCCGCCGAAGGGCCTTCTCTCGCGCTCGCCCTCGCCGAGCATGCCGCGGGGAGGAGCGTGGGAGCGCTGCTGCTTGATGTGGGTGGCAGGAACGATCTCAGCGGGGAGGTGAAGCCACTCGCGGAGGTAGTCGAGACCCTCGGGGGTCAGGGTGTAGTAGTAGTATTGCCAGGAGAACTGGGTCTTGACATAGCCGCGGGAGGTGAGGGACTGGCAAGCCTTGACGACGAAGAGGTTCTTGGTGTCGATATCGGGGTGCTTGGGGAGGTTGTAGTCCTTCTTCGCGACGAGGACACCCTCGCGGAAGAGGTACTGTTAAATTTCCATCGTCAGCATTCTCGTCGACGAGCTTACGGCGTGCAATTCTCCTCGCGCGCCGGCGAAATGGTAATTCTAACCTCGTGGATCTTCTTGCGGTCGGCCTTGGGAATCAACATCGTGGCGGTTGTCGGGTCGCTTGCTGGTCGATGTTGGGGAGGGTGAAGTCGTGGTGGCAGGAATATAGAACGTACAACAGCGACAGTCGCTCTTGAATTTTCGAAATCAAGCCCTCGTTTGTGTGGGCCCCACTTGTCTTTTCGGGCACACTGGTCGCAATTGCTGGATCGGGTGGGCCTTGTCACGTGCTGGGCGAGTCGCTCCAGTGGACGGTTAGGTGTTTGCCCACTGTACTTGGTGCTCTGAGGTCCCTCGATGGCCGGTGCTCCTCCCCCGCTGCCGAGAAATCTACTGTGGCTTGAGCGCTGAGCCACCTTTTTTTCCTTTTTTTTTTCGTCTCTTCCCTTCGCGCCAAATCCCATACCCCCGGCCTTATCGCTGATAAGCGTAGCGTCACCAGGTGAACATCGCATTTCATCGCCTCGCGTGTTCGTCACATCGCAACCTCATTACACCGACGATACCGACAACCACGACGTCAGCAACAACAATATCGACAGCGACAACAACGTCAAGCCTTCGAAATGGCCGTGAAGAACATCAACGTCTTCGTCAGCACGTTCGCTGGCCTAGGCCCGTCAACTTTGGTGCTTCCTGTGCCTTCTTCAACTACTCTATCGGATTTGCGTCAGCAACTGAATGAGCGCCTGCCCGCGACTGAAAACCGCCTGATCTTGACGACTGTATCAAACAAGGAGTTATCGCCGTCCTCCACAGCTCAAGTTGCCGACCTCCTCTCGTCTGAATCAGATGACTTCGTCTCCCTGCGCCTGTCGCTGCCGCTATGTGGTGGCAAGGGTGGTTTCGGATCCCAGCTGAGAGCTGCCGGAGGTCGCATGTCATCCAAGAAGAAGCGCAACCAGGGAGACGCCAACAACTCAAGCAGAAATTTGGATGGCCGACGTCTGCGCACCGTGACTGAAGCAAAGGCTCTGGCGGAATACCTCGCCATTAAGCCGGAGATGGAGAAGAAGGAAAAGGAGAAGCGCCGCGAAAGATGGGAGCAAATCGTCGAAATGTCAGAGAAGCGTGAGGATGAAATCAGGAACGGCGGCAAGGGTCGGGTGGACGGCAAGTGGGTCGAAGACAAAGAAGAGGCAAATGAGAGGACTCGTGAGGCCGTCCTCGCGGCGATGAAGGCTGGCAACTACAAGGACAATCTGCTCGGCACATCGCAAGTGTCCACCGGCTCTGAGGAGACGGATGAGGCCATGACGAGCGATGAAGAGGATGAAGAGGGCGGCAGCTCCAAGGAATCCACGCCTCCATCAGAACCGGCGAAGACCTCCAAGGATAAGCCCAGAACATTTTTCGGCTTTGACGAAGACGATGAGTTTATGAGCTCCGATGAGGATGAGCAAGATCCTAAGGGTAAGGGAAAGGCGAAGTGAAATCAAGTGTTCTCTCATTTTCATTGAGAGTACATATTTGTAATGAGTTTGCGCCATCGGAGGCGAACGGAGTTCCGGGAGATCAGTTACGGGAAGGCAGCGAGCTTGCGTTTTTGATAAAATAACAATGATGGACGGGCGTTACAGACAGTTGGTCACGAATTCACATTCAGCGCCTGTGTGCGCTTTTAGCCTTGTCGCACGACACATCCTCCGATGCTCTATTTGATGTCTCAATCCATCTGGAAGTAATACAGTCGCCCGGCTCCTCCGTCTAACTCGCGTACAGCCTACTCCAATATCGCTTATGCGTTCAGGTTGACGGGGAAGTTGCCGGCCTCTGTTCTTTGTCAGCACGAAGTTCCTTGATATCGGGATTTGGTACTGACCGCGCTGCTCATCCCAGCGCTGGTACCAGCCGGAAGGGCAGAGGGAGCGGTAGCCGAGCCAGAACTACAAAACGTTAGTTGTCGATTCCTCCAGCAGCACTTCAAGATAGTCGGACCTGGCGGCAGGGGGCGAAGTCCTCGCCCTTGGCGTTGATGCACTTGTGGTAGTCGACGTAGTTCTGCCAGCAGTGCTTGGTCTGGTTCATGTTCGGGAAGCGGGCATCGGTGCCTATACAAGCTCAGGTTAGGCATTCGTCCATAGTGGCCGGTGTCGATTGACGCGGTCGCATCGCGGGTATCGTGGGGTCGGTCGGAGGGCACATACCGGCTACAAGTTACGTTAGCCTCGGAAAAAGATCAGGCCATGCTGGGGGGGGGCGAGGGATATTTCACGACGTACCAGTGACGAACTTGAAGGGCTTGGTAACGAGTTCCTGATCGTCGGCCATTTTGACTGCGTGGAGGTGCAATTGACTGGAAGTCGGTTCGGTGATGGAGCAGAGTGGGCAGCGACGTGCGATTGGTGTTGTTGCAGTGAGATCAATTGAAGGTCGTTTCTGCACCAAGAATCAGGTGGTGAGTGGTGACGGGCGAGAACGGGTGTGGATGCCTGACATGCGCCAATCGGGCCTCAGGCATTGCAAAGGTGGGCCGAGCTCCCGCCTAACATCAGACCAGACTGATGGTAGCCGGCTCAACTTCTAAACACTCATTTCGAGATCCAATCCCGATCAGCGAACGACTGCTCCCTCAGCTGTACCGAAAACCCGAAAATCTCCCCTCAAAAAACACAAAAACCGTCAAAATGCGTCCTACTCTCGGTCTCCGTGCTTTCCGCCCTACCATGCGCATGAGGTCCCCGGTTCCTGTATGTTAAAAAACCCGCTGTCTCCAAACGGACCGCCGTAGCTAATTGTGACGTTTTCCCTCAGGCCGAGGACCAAGTTGGTATGTCCACCCCCGGCCCCAGCCATTGAAGCCTTCCACGATATCGGACATGAACATCGACGACTGCGACCGCCCTTGCGACACCGAATGCGAGCGCTGACATGAATTGCCGTAGGCCACACCGTCTCCCAGAGACTGCGCAAGCTCCGCCAGATCCCCCCCGAGTTGATCCCCCTCGGTATGTCAGACCCGGAATATGAAGATGCCAGCCCGGACTATTGTTGACGTAATCAGGTGTCGTCGTTGGTTTCGCCCTGGCCGCTGCTACCTACTCCATCGGCCGCCACTTCATGACCGACAGCACCATCCGCATCAAGCGCCAGAACAAGGCCGCCGCCGATGCCGCCGAGGCCAGGGAGCACCACTAGATGGTGAACGGGATAATGAGGGGAGACGGTTGACCACAGTGTCGATGTGTGATTAGGGGGGAAACATTTGTATATGTCAACGACGACAGACAGATCCAAAGGCACTAGAGACGCTGTTTTCATTTTCCTTTCTCAAATGTGCTTCTCATCCCAGTCTCGGGGAGAAGGCCAGGTCCATTTGTACATTCGCAACCGTGTGAACGCCATCGCTATGCCAAAGAGAAACAAAAAAGAGACCCAAGTCAAACTTCAAATCCCCCTCACTCCGGCCTCGGTCCCGCGACATCAAGCCCCTCCAGACCCTGCATGGGATCATCCCCACGCACTTCAACCTGCGCCTGCTCTGCGGCGAGTCTGTCCTCTTCACTCACAGCATTCTCAGCCAACCATGATTCCTACGAGCGCAGTCAGTATCGATATGACTCAAGCGGGACCTGTGGTGACGTACTTGTTCCCAAAGCGCCTTCTTGCTACCGAGACCTTCGTCGGCACTCTTGGGTACCTTTGCGGCTGAAACTTTGAGGACTCTCCCGAAAAATTCCGACTGGTCCATGTTGTCGATTGCTTCTTTTGCGTCCTCGGCGTCCTCGTACTCAACATAGGCGAATCCTCTATGAGGCTCTGTTGAGTTCGGCTTGTCGTTCTTGGGGAGCGATACGTCTGCGATCTCACCGAACGGTATGAACGCGTCGTGAACATTGGAGGCTGTGACTGCAGAAGCTAGGCCACCCACAAATACAGTGGCCTTCCAGCGCGAGGCGTCCGTCATCGTTTTTAATTATTTTCCGTGGTGTTTCGGTAAGTTGGCGCGGTCAAGATCAAATTATCGTGAATTTCAGAAGCGGCTAGCAGCCTCACTGAGAGCAATTCGTTTGGTTGGCGGGGTTTCAGTGCAATAGCTCTGGTTCACTCACCATTGGCTGAGCCAGACATGAGCTCTGCTGAATGCACGTGACGCAATTTTTCTAGTGCCAGTGTAAGGCAGGCGACAGGTGCACGGTCCTAGGTGGACGTGGAGCCTACGTTTTGGGGGAGCTTGAACCTGGATGTGGGCTGCAATCTGGCATCATAACCCAAGGATAGAGGCCAGCGTGCTATTACCTGCAGTCCATAATCCACGGCAACAGCCACCTTTCTCGCAAGGCTAGGCTGCGTTTCTTCACCACGTCTGTATCTGGGCCACCCCCTCCAGATTTTTGTCTACTTGTATTCAGCCAATGCCACTTTGTAGTCGTGCTTGAGTTGCCTCGACTGGTAGACCCTTTTCTTTGCTACGATCCTCCCCTCCCTCCGAGTGCAGTCCTGGGGACTGAGTGATTCTCGCAACCATGGTTCGCCTTCGCGAGATCCCGAGGACCGCGGCCTTCGCCTGGTCCCCCGACCCATCCAAGCCTCTCTTGATCACTGGTACCAGAGCAGGAGCTGTCGATGCCGATTTCTCTGATGAGACCAAGCTCGAGCTGTGGGACCTCAACCTCGACAACCAAGAGCAGGGCCTTGAGCTGCAGCCCGTAGCCAGCATTAACACCGACTCAAGGTAGGCATCGCCGACGTTCAACCTAACCAAGTTCGTCACTCACGGGGCATCCCTAGATTCTACGATATCGCCTGGGGCCCGCCCGACTCCGACCACCCGCGGGGTATTATCGCCGGGGCTCTGGAGAATGGCTCCCTCGACCTGTGGGATGCCGAGAAGCTCATCGATGGCGACGACGATGCCCACATGTCCCGAACGACGAAGCACTCCGGCGCAATCAAGTCACTCCAGTTTAACCCCCATCGACCTCAGATTCTCGCAACCGCCGGCGCAAAGGGAGAGCTCTTCATCTGGGACGTCAACGATGTTTCCAACCCCTTCAGACTCGGCACCGCCGCCGCTCGCTCAGACGACCTGGAGTGCGTAGCATGGAACCGCAAGGTTGCGCATATTCTGGCTACTGGAGGATCTGGTGGATTTGTCACCGTCTGGGACTTGAAGACGAAGAAGGCCTCCCTGACGCTCAACAACAACAGGAAACCCGTCAGCGCGATCGCTTGGGACCCCAACAACTCGACCAAGCTTCTGACCTCCACATATGATGACACTGCCCCCCTCATCTTCCTGTGGGACCTCAGAAACTCCAATGCGCCAGAGCGTACGCTTCAGGGACACGAGCAGGGCGTTCTGTCTCTGTCTTGGTGCCAGCAGGACAGCGATCTGCTGATTTCTTGTGGCAAAGACAACAGGACCTTGGTCTGGAACCCCCAGACCGGTGACCGATATGGAGAGTTCCCCGAGGTTACAAACTGGACCTTCCTCACCCGCTTCAACCCCTCGAACCCCAACCTGTCTGCTACTGCAGGCTTCGATGGCAAGATCGCCATTCAGACCCTCCAGAACACCAACCCCTCAACCACCCAGGCTGCGACACAAAACAACCTGGACGGCGAGGACTTTTTCACAAGCGCGCAGACTCAGCCCCAGGAGGCTTCCTTCTCCTTGAGCAAGGCGCCCAAGTGGTTCGAGCGCCCGATTGGTGCCAACTTTGGCTTTGGCGGCAAGCTCATCATTTTCAAGCAAAACGCTGCCCAGCGAACCTCCAAGATCTCCATTTCGCAGTTTGCTGTCGACACTGCTGTGGGTACTGCAACTGAGAAGTTCGAGGAGGCCCTCCAGTCTGGAGACATTGTCAGCCTTTGCGAGTCTCGGAAGGAAGATGCCAAAAGCGAGGAGGAAAAGGCCGATTGGCTTGTCATGGAGACTCTTACTGCCGAGAACCCCCGAAAGCGCATCATCGAATATCTTGGTTTCACCGAGGAGGAGATCACCAACGGAGTTTCCAAGGATGAAGAGGAGAAGTCCGAAGAAGTCGCTGAGGAGAAGAAAGAGGCGAAGGACGACGACAACATGTGGGGCGATGGCGAGGGCGACGGCGAGGACTTCCTGTCCAACTTGTCGGCCAACAAGGGAGCTAAGACCGATAGCCCCTTCCACCTCCTCGCTGACACCGATACTGCGGTTGAGAAGTCCATCACTAAGGCTCTGATGCTCGGCAACTTCGCCAAGGCTACCGAAATCTCTCTGAAGGAGCAGCGCTGGGCTGATGCATTTTTGATCGCTAACTGCGGCGGCCAGCCGTTGGTGGACAAGGTGCAATCTGCTTACTTGGCCAGCAAGGATGGCGTCCCCAGCTACGTCCGTCTGTTGGGGTCTGTCATCGCCAAGAACTTGTGGGATGTCGTGTACAACGCGGACCTTGAGAACTGGAAGGAGACGATGGCTATTCTGTGCACTTTCTCCGACCCCAAGGAGTTCCCTGATCTTTGCGACGCTCTGGGAGACCGCATTCTTGAAAGCGGTTCTCGCAAGGATGCCTCGTTCTGCTACCTCGTCGGTTCCAAGCTCGAGAAGGTCGTCTCTATCTGGATCAACGAGCTCGAGGAGGCTGAGCAAGCTGGTGTCAAGGAGCCTAGTGATGATTCAACCTTCTCTGTCCATGCTCGGTCTCTCCAGCACTTCATTGAGAAGGTCACCATCTTCCGCCAAGTCACCAAGTTCCAGGATACGGAAAAGAGTCAAAGCGCGGACTGGAAGCTGTCTGCCCTGTACGAGAAGTACACGGAGTATGCCGATATCATCGCCGCTCACGGCCAACTTGCTGTCGCGCAGAAGTACCTGGACCTGCTGCCCGATAACTACCCCGCGGCAGAGATCTCCAGAAACCGCCTGAGACTTGCGACTCAGAAGGGTGCTGCTACCCAAGCCGCCCCCAAGGCCGCTGCGGCTGCTGGCCGTCGTCTGGGACAGACTCCCGCAGTGAACAACGCGAGAGCCACCCCGGCCTATCAGCCTGTTGCTCCGGCTGGACCTACCTACGCTGGTTCTTCTGTGCCTGCTGCAGCGTCGAACGCTTATGCTCCCCCTGGACCCCCCATGGTTGGTTCTTCTGTATCGGCTGCGGCGTCAAACCCGTATGCCCCTACCCCGTCCATCAACTACAACCCGGCGCCTGGCGCAGGTTACAACCCGGCTCCCACTCAATCACCGTACGCGCCGGGACAAGGTTACCAGCCCCCGGCCGCTCAGCAATACGGAGCGCCGCCTACTGGTTACGGACCACCTCCTAGCAACTTCGGCTCCGTGCCCCCGCCTCCACGAAACTCAACGCCCACATCCAGTTTCCGCCCTAAGGAGAGCTGGAACGATGTGCCTCTAGTCACCAAGGTGCCTACCCGTAAGACCACGCCCAGCGTGGCACCCATCACGGCCCCTTTCCCGGGCCAGGCGACCCATGGCAGCGCTCCTCCTCAGAGCCCCTACGGCCGCACCGGCTCAACTCCTCCACCACCTCCTCCTAAGGGACCCGCCCCTCCTCGCGTTACGTCTCCTCTTGCCGGCCCTCCTCAGGCATTCCAGGCACCGCCTAGGCCGACATCAGCGGCGTCGAATGCATACGCACCTCCCCCGCCCCAGGCTGGCGCACCGCCTTCCATGATGCCGCCGCCTGCTGCTCGTGGCCCGTCCCCGTACAACCCGCCCCCGTCTGGCGCCCCTCCATCTAACCGCTACGCCCCCGCGGCGTCGGCACAGCCTCAGATCAGTCAACCACCCATGGGATCAGCACCACCCCCGGGTAGCCAGCCGCCTCCTAGAAACCCGTACGCTCCGCCGCCCCAGGCGGGCACACCTCAGAACCAATATGCGCCGTCGCCTTACGGGGCTCCTCCAGCTGGTGCTACTGCTCCTCCGCCCGCCGCATCCAGGCCTCCTACGGGACCTCCTCCCGCTGCTGGCGGACCTCCCCCTGCTGCCATCGCCACTCCTCCTCCCCCGAAGGCAGCAGCTCCCCCGCCGAAGCCGAGGCATCCCGCTGGTGATAGGTCTCACATCCCGGACCATGCCCAGCGTCTCGTAGACATCATGAACTCAGACATGCAGCGTGTGACATCGCGGGCGCCTGCATCATTTGCCGCCCAGGTCAAGGATACCCAGAAGCGTCTCAACCTTCTGTTCGACCACC